CCCACATAAAATCATAATTAATATTCCACTGAAGAAAGCCAAAAGGGCCATTTAAAGAGAGTGCTCCCTTAAACCTGCTTTACACATCACTGCAGGCTCACAAACTTGCAATTACACTGATTAGCAAAGACACACGCAAGGCTCAAAGGGACCTTCTGGAGCTTCTTGACCAACCTGCCAACAATTTATGCACATACTAATGAGTAGTATGCAATCAAAACAGAGTTTAAATTGCAGTGGTTACTTCAAATCAGATAGATACGAGGAGCACAACACATAACTGCTTTCAGTAACACTGACAGACTATCAATAAGGTTATAAATACCACATTATAAATACGTGGCATTTATTAAACTGAACAGAAATATATATATAACAACTACATAATAACATTGCATAACATGAGGTGACAACAGAGGACCAGCCAAGCCAAAACACAAACTAGCCACAGCTGAAATTAAAGACAACACTAATGAATATTGGAATTCCAAATCTGGGAAGTAAATGAAATTTTCTTTCCTGTATGACCTGAGAATGGGCCAAGTACACTTGGACAACGAGTGCTTCTTTAAAAGGAACATTATGTACAAAATAGCTTACAATTTCTTGCAGGAATGGAATATATTCTTTTTGAGTCAGTGAATAAATACGTGAACAAAATACATAAAGTCTATGTCTACCTACCTACATTCAGTATATGTACATAGTGTTAGATAGTTTATGTTTGGGTTTGGTTTTTTTCTGTTTTGTAAATGTCATGATTTCAGTAGTTTATATATTTTCAGTAGACAATAGTTAAATCTCCGACACCTTAACATCAACCAAAAAAGGCAGCAGGCTGGCTGCCAGCATGGGAAAAATCAATTTCCCCTGTCATTATTTATATCTGTATTTCCTTATCATCATGTGCTTTCTAAAAGTGGATTATCCACTTTTACCTTTCAATCAAATACGGTATATAGTTTGAAAACAGGTGATAGAGTCATATAAGGGGCATCTTCAAACGGAGTTGTTTCTAATTCAGCTAGCTTTTTGTTTACAGGCAGAAGCTGTGTTTCTAGTTGTGATGGATTCTGTTTGTCAAAATGAGAAGAGCAGCAGTTTAAAACATTTTGTCTGAGACAGGTACACAGTTACCAGAAAGAGCTGAAGGAACAAAAAGCAAGTGTAGGTTGAATCTAGAAACAGCTGCTTGACCTCTACCTTCTCCATCAGGCACCAATGGGATTCCTGTGTTATCCTTGCTAACACTTCACATTTTTCATGTCATTTATTTTTCCTGACAGCAAAACAAACAGAAAGAAAGCTAAAATAGAATTTTGTGGAAGGGTTCATAATTAACTCGGGAAAGGCAAGAGAATCAGAAATCAGCCACTCATTGTCATTATTAACAAGTGAAAACATTTTTTTCTACCATCTGCAGGATCTGTGCTAATTTTGTACTGTGCTCTCATCTATTTATATTTATTAGAAAAGTGTTAACATTTAATTATTTTAAAATAGAAGGCTTTTATTTTTTCCCATTAACAGGAGCTACTGTGGGAACTAGTAGCACAGCGCTGGGGCAAAAAGATGGCTAAATTAAGTACAGTGCATCCAACTTATACGAATTTATTTTCATTTACAGACCTACATAAAACAAGATATTGTAATTCAGGTTCTCCTAGAGTTTCTGGAAATTACCAGAGGATGTAGGCCACACTGAAATCTCTATTTCTATCAGAGTATTTAATTTCTACATAAATGTATATATTTACTGGTATACTTCAGTTTATCCAGGTTCCTGTAATAGACAACAGTGACTATGGAAGTGTTTCTGGAAGAATATCTTTCAGTATCTTAGGAATTATTTCCTGGACATTAACTCAATTTGATTTCCTAACAGCCAGGCAGCACACTTCCCTGGTGGCTTCTACATGGGAGCCTGCTCCAAAACCATTTGCTCCACATAAAGCCTTCAATTTGTCAGTCTGCAATAAGGTTCAGTTTGCACAATCCAAATTTTGAGCATGGTAAGCTTTCCCAGTATTAGCCTGAGACTTCTGCTACCGAAAAGGAGAAACACTGAGATAAAGGAAGAAATGAAAAACTCAGTTTTGGAGAGATTATGGCAAAAAGAAATCCCTGGAAAAGCGGAAAAGCCACAAATAGCACCAAAGGCAATCCTGACAAGCAAGGAGCTATCAGGATAGAAAGCAGGTTTAAATATCCTTCCAAAACCCAGTCTTCAGATAGCTGGAAATCAAAATTGTAATCTCCTTAGAGAGAAGCAACGAGAAGGAAGAAAATGTGCATGTTTGAGGAACGAACTAACTAATATAACTTTCAACTCTGGCGAGCGTGTGCTTCATGGTACTTGGAGCAGGCAATGAATGCTTCACTGCTGTTCAGACACACTGAGCTGCTAAAAACCTCTCCTGCCCGTATTTCCTCCCTTGCAGCTGAGTGGCTACTCAGAGTGATTCACAGCTTCATTTTGCCAGATTTCTGGACAGTTTATCTGGACTTGATAGGCTCAGTTCCTGATCTGTACAACCAAGATACTGACACTTCCCCACCTAAGAGAAGCACTCTGAGAACAAATGATGAAGAAGTATTTAGTGGCAGTGATGACAGAGCTTGTATGAATTCCTAAGGCAGGAACTTCATGACCTCTCTAAAAATAACAAATAAGAACAGATTTTTATGTAGACACAATGAACATGAGATGGAAAGGCTCAAAGTATTATGTCTACTCCTAAACCACACACTGGCTATTATTTTCTCTGTACTTCCTTCAGGCTCTGGTGACACTAGTGAAATAACTACCTTTCTGCCACCTCAACTCATGAAGGCTGAAGGGAACTTTTATTTTCCCTTGTGCCCACCACCAAGTCAAACTTCCTCCTTACTGAGGCAGCTGCTGCAGGAGCTATCTTTCCTTCCCCAGAAAGTACAGAGGAAAGGAATTTAACTGGGCTAGCTGTCACGCTGCAACACTTCACAAAAAAGCAAATGAGAGCTGATTCAGATATGCAATTCCAGCCTGTTTCCTATGTGATGCAAGATGAGAGGTGCAGCTATGAGCTGTGCTTTAGAAAAGAGCTCTGCAGAGCACTACCACAACCAGGTTTGCGAGGGTCAGTGATATGCATTCTGAAAGGAACAAACTCGATTCAGGGCAAGCACTGGCCTCCATGGATGTAGTGGCTATTAAAAACAAAAAAACAATACAAAACCAGGTCCAGGAATATAATCTTGAAATATCATTGAGTTTGATTCCATTCCTCAGGGTCACCATCTTGGTCTGCTCCCCTTTCACAGGTGTCCAGCACTCCTGATGCTCACCATCCTCAGGAGCTGCATCTATCTGTACAAAGGTTGGCTACTGCCTATCACTGGTCAGAACCTACTGTTCTTGGTAGTAACAGTTTATGGGCATGCTAGGACACACATCCTTTCTTTAGGTGGGAATTCGGGAAAATTTAAGAACATACTGTGCAATGGAAGGAATGTAAACTGTAGCCTGGTAGCTTTTCTTCAAATGACCTAATGACATTAGGTGTTCTGTCTATAGATACTACGGGAAGTGCCACTGCAACTGCTGAGGTGTACTGCTGATGTTCATTAGCAGTTTGCCACCTACTACTCAGAATAAATAGGCAGAATGTTCCCTGAAGCCAGGACACAGGCAAAATAATCAAAAGACAAACAAGTATGTTGAATCTGAAGCGGTGGTTACACTTTATTTGATGTCAGTAATTTTGTCACTCTGCAGGAAGCACCATCCGAGCTCGTGTAACCCAGTATCCCTGGCCCATTAATCCTACCTAACAAGTATGAAGTGATGGGTGTTGTAACTAAGTAACAAAATTAAATATAAAAGTCTACATTTAATAAGCACCATGCAGTTTATTCAGACACCCTAAAGGAAGGAATCTGGAGTCAACCAAAGGACATAATCTTATCAATTGTATCCTAAATGAGGCCTGACCTGTAAGGGTAAATAATTTCTGCAGAAGCATAGATGATAATGCATACTCTAATGCTTTTATGACCGAAAGAAGAACTTTTCTTGCATATTTTAGTAGGAAAATCATAATGGAAATACAGGCATTGTAAAATAGGAAAATGAAAAGATCTTACGATTTTATATTTGTAGCATTAATCACCACACTGATATTAGCAATCGAACAGGATGAAATCACAAAGTGAAAAAAAACCCCAAACCAAACCAACTATCTAACTTCTGTTTTTCATTTTAAAATAGGGTAACTTGGGAGCAAGGGTTAAAAATCTCCAGACATTTCAGACCGGTGCTGTTTGACAGTATTTCTGTATTTCTGAAAACTAAACAAACCAAACCACTCCACCTTGAATTTCTGAAGGGAGAAAGTTCAAACAATCTTAGAAAGATCAGATCTTCTTCTACGAAGAAAAGAAACGGACTCTACCACTACCTGCATACCCTGTGTCTAACAGACATTACATAGTATACTACCAAGTTTCAGAAAAAAGCTTTAAGAAGATGACATTGTCCATCTCACCAACATGCGTTTTCCATTTTCCTATCAGAACCATGAGAAAGGAAAACAAAACCCCCCAAATCCTCCTTGTCACTATACAGGATATAAAAGAAATGAGTAACAGCTTCTAAGAAAATTCAGTAAAATACAACTTCTGCATGTGCAGTCCTATGCCAGACAGGAGGGAGAACAGAGAGCGAGCAGAGGATTCCCACCATGATATATCTGTGTACAGAGCACATCTCCCACAAGAGCATTCATGGCTAACAAGGACAAAGTGACCAGCAACCATAAGCATAAACAATGCCTACATCTGTAAACTGCCTGCATAAAGTTGAATAAAGCTATTCATACATTATATATCCAAAGGGCTTGAAAGTGTTTTGTTACAAAAACGATGATGATAGAATAAAGAGTTACTGATGGAGCAACTGACATGCAGCACAGAACTCTGCCTATACAGAGCTTGAAAAAAATATATTGAAAAATTCAAACCTGTGACCAGTTCTCTGATTTCCAAATCTGTAGTCTTGCGGAGTAACCGTACTAATGCTGGGATACCACCACAGTTTTTCAGAGCGATTTTGTTGTCATCATTTGCCTTCCCATATACCAAGTTTCTCAAAGCTCCACAGGCACTACGGTGGACTTCTGTCATCCGATGGTCCAATAGGTCCACCAGTAATTGTATTCCGCCTTGTCTTCTTATCTGAAACAGGCCAAAGTGGTAATCATAAAATTAAGGAACAAACAGTGGTATTATATATGCTATCTAACGTAATTAAGCTGTGGTTTGTGCAGGCTATGCATCATCAAAGGTATACTGGTAGTCCTGCAAAGCTACTACATTACAGTGCTTTGATTCCTTGTATTATTTTTTTCAGTGGCAACATAACTACAATGACAAACCTGAACCTCTGTAAAAGCAGCCAAAAGTTAGTCAAGAGTGTTGGTTCATTAAGGTTTCTCATGGTTCAGCAAGGTTTACGCTGTCAAGAGCTTCTCCTGTGTTAGAGAAACATCATCTGCTTCAGAGTGTAACACATCACAGGCTAGAGGAAAGACCACAAGACTACGGCAAACAAAGAAAAGCACTTAATGTAATAAAGTTTTTAGGAGTCCTTCCTTTTAGATTTAATTCCCGGGCATGTGAGCAGCTACTGTAGTCTCTGTAAGGATTTTATATCAACAAAATTAGGAAAAATAAAGATGAAAGAAAAAGGAGGAAGTCTGCAGAAACATAAAGACAAGGATGATAGATACATCACAGAAAGCTTGTTCTATCACGATTGAAGGAGACCTGTAAGTGAGGCAGGAACAGAAGTCTTATTCATTCTTAAGGTGGACTACAAAATAAATTTCTAATGCAGTATTTTACATAAAATATCATTGTAGAAAAAGCGCAAAAGTCTTTGAGACATATGATCAAGAAGATCAAGAATACTAAGAACAATTGATTATAAAATCTGTTTGCAACAAACCCATCTTTGTTGTTTTCTGGCACTATCTGCACCTCAAACAGTAACCAGTCTTGGATCTCATTTCAAGTAACCGGACTGATTCGTAATAATACAAAGAGTACAATGTTTTAGCTTCAAGTAATTTATATAGACGTTTCCGTCACAAAGTTTTTCCATGTGTATTGTTGGCTAAGGCGCAAAGCAAGCCCGACACTTCATCTGACCATTTTACCACCTCTAGTAATATTTTGCCTAGGACAGTAAAACAGAGACAATTAGAGAATGTTTTCAAAACTGCAGGGAAAGGTGAAACATTAAATTTAAAGTGAAAGTTTATGATTTGTGAAGTAGTTGTGTTGGGTCACAACAACCCCATGCAACACTACATGCCAGGGGAAGAGTTGCTGGAAAGCTGTTCAATGGAAAAGGACCAGGGGATGCTGACTGACAGCTGCTGAACATAAGCCAGCTTATGCCCAGGCAGCCAAGAAGGCCAACAGCATCCTGGCCTGTATCAGCAATAGTGTGTCCAGCAGGACCAGGGCAGTGATCATCCCCCTGTACTCAACACTGGTGAGGCTGCACCTCGAATCCTGTGTTCAGTTCTGGGCCCCTCACTAGAAGAAAGACATTGAGGTGCTGGAGTGGGTCCAGAGAAGGGCAATGAAGCTGGCAAAGGGTCTGGAGCACAAGACTGATGAGGAACAGCTAAAGGAACTGGGGTTATTTAGTCTGGAGGAAAGGAGGCTGAGAGGAGACATTGCTCTCTACAACTACCTGAAAGGAGGTTGTAGCGAGATTGGTTGGTCTGTTTTCTGAGGTACCTAGTGATAGGATGACAAAAAATGGCCTCCTGTTGTACCAGAGGAGGTTTAGATTGGATATGAGGAAAAATGTCTTCACCAGAAGGGCTATCAAGCACTGAAACAGGCTGCTGAGGGAAGTGGTGGAGTCGCCATTCCTGGAGGTATTTAAAAGACGTGTAGGTGTGGTGCTTAGGAACATGGTTTAGTGGTGGACTTGGCAGTGCTGGGTTAATGGTTGTACTTGATGATCTTAAAGGTTTTTCCAACCTAAATGATGTTATGATTCACTGCAAATAAAGACTGGAAAATGATTCAGCCTTCGAGGTTCCAAAATTGAGCTATCAAAATTACTCACTGATTAAACAGAAGTTCTCTCTTTCTTCTACAGGCTTGTCTGGCATATTCATGTTTTCGAAATAACAGCAAAAACTCAGTAATAGAGCCATTCTGTAGTTAAAAAGTGTATATACTGAGATGTTACAGTATTAAATTAAAATGCTTTAATGTCTATACAGTTACAACACAGCTTTGGGCTAAGTGCCAAATTCACAGTGTTTAAAGATAAATTAAGATATTCTCCCCTCAATAGGCATCGGTATCAGTATATTATGTAGAACATTCTGAGCAATATGCAGGTGTAGAAGACTACAGTGGCCAGCTACATGGAGAGTGAAGATGTGAATGAACATTTGTAGAACATATCAGCTTCAGGCAGAAAAGTTCATTAATCTTTTTGAGAGTCTATGCTTCTGCTGCTCAGAGAAACTGTGATATCTTTCAGTTTCAAAACCAGAAAAAGAGATCAAAAGGTGTTGCAATACATCTCACTGGTCAAAACTCTACCCATGTGAACAGGATGACTTGCAATGAAATCATTTGCTCCTTTCTGAGCCAGGAAAAATTTACTAAGTTTATGAAGGGAAGAGGTAGGTGTATGTAAGGCTTGTTTGTTTGCTTGTTTTTACAATCTATCACCATTTAATCTTCAGATTATCCTACTAACCAGATTTTCAAAAGCAAGCATAGTACATGAAGAACCACCTACATGACAAAACGGACGACATTTACTGAATCAGACTAGAAACAAAAATTCATGCATCAGTTCTAAAAAAGGTGAATCAGTTCTACAAAAGGCTTCACACTTCAACCTCTGAAAAGAAATGAGATCTGATAGAAGAAAGAATATAGTTAAAAAATACACAAGTTGTTCTGCTGTGATGAGTAATATCAGGAACGACAGAATGAAAACATGTCTGCTGATCTTTATGAATTATATTTTTAAAGCACAATACGCTGAATGAATATTTTAATTGCTACACTGCTAAAAAATATTAAGAATGAGAAACAGTATTAACTTTGTAGCAAAAATCGTTATGTGTTCTACAGTTCATCTGAAGGCTGTTCAGAGGCATGCATCTGCTGTTTTTCCCCCTCTCCCTCTCAGACACAGGCAACTGGCATTTCAGTGGACGCACTCAGGTGATAAGTCTTCCTATCGCCTGCTCATTTCTAAGGGAAAATGTGTGCTTCTGCCACATTCAGCTGGCATTCTGAGCTGCACATTCCCTTTCAGTCATGCTATCTGACAGCACACCAGCATGCAGCTTGTGCAGCAACTCCTCTCCCAGGAGCCTGAAGTCAGCAGCAGACTGAAGGGATTCAAAGATACTTTCTTAAAAGCAAAGTCATTAAATACTCATCTAAAATGCACTTCTGTCTGAAAAAAAGATGAGTAATGTAACGGAAATGAAACGGCTGTTACATAACACTCTACCTAACTTGACAAAATTTCTTTAATTCTACTGAAGATTGAACCTATTCTTACCCGGGAAATACAGGACTTATTTTGCAAGCTTTCTTTGAATTTCCAAGCTCAGTCACTTGGCAAAATAGCTGCGTCATGCAGGCAGAGATGAAGCAGATTCTTCATAACTGGAGCTCAGTTTCTGATGCTTTCTTTATCTGGACTACTGCCTGGCTTTTTTACTTTTCCAATAGCATATTATTGACCATAAGTCTGACCCCATCTTTGCGTTTCCATCACATATCTAGCTGTTTAATACTATATACTCCAGCAGATTTAACTATGCCTGACAAATCGTGAAACTCTGATGGATGTTACCAGATTCTACTTACATGAAATTATTTGTTCAAGTCCTTTATGGAGTTAAGAGCTGCAGTCGGGAGGAAAATTCTGATCTAGTGAGTCTCTTGGGGCAGATCTCAGATGAGCTAAGTTGTCACAGCTCCAGTGAGTTCAGCAGTGCTACTGCCAAACATCTTTGGGATGGGTGGATAAGCAGCAATTTGCTCCAGTGGGGCATCAAATCCACTCCCCAAAGGACATTCGATTGATATTTCTGTCTCTCTCCTGACTTTATATGAAGAGAGCATTCTTTAAAATAATATTTATTGACACCTTGGTAGCTGCTGCCTAAGAGACAAAGAAAATAGAATACGCTGGAGTCTACTTGCCTACTACAACCATATAAACAGCATAGTTGTCAGAAGATTCAGGAGACCAACTCCGATCTCACACAGACTAATCCCAGAGTAGCCACTCCTGAAGTAAAAAGAATGACCTTCAACTCTGCAGCACAACTGAGTTCACCCAGTCATATCATAAAGTTCATTTTTCCTGTCTTGAATATACTGTCCCTTTTTTACACTGTCTTCTCTCAAACCAAACAAGAAAAAGAGGACCAGACTAGAAGCGTTAGAAATGCTGGGTGAATCTGTGCTGTGGTGTTTGTCATGACTCTTTTAATCCATGGACAGTGTTAATTTCTAAATGTTTTTTTCCTCACTAGAAATATTTTGTGTACACCTTTGGAAGATGCTGTTGGATAGGTGTTAAATAAATGAAACAGGCTGTGTTCTTTCACACATGGCATTATGGAGTGCATGGCATATCCCATCAGGACCAGGAATCCCCGCACACGTAAGCCTGAACTCTTTCTGTTGAGCTTTCCTAATAAATAAGGAATCTATGCTGTGTAGTGTAAACCCACACCAATCAAAAGTAAAAACTGATAGAATGAAGATTACATGAATTTTGACACAAAACAATTTCTACGGAAGAATGCACAGAGCTGCTTTCATCTGATGGGTCATATGTTTTCTTTTCCTAGGAAATTTATAAACTTTCCTTTAATAGTTGGCCCTCCACCACTAATGTTACTTTCTACTTGCTGGTCAGAAGCGCTTGCTCTGGTCAAGTCCCATGATGTCACGACACAGACATGACAGGAAAAGGTGACAGACTCTCTGGTCCACAGATCAGTAAAAGCGCACTCACATCAGCTTGATACCAGAGTCTTTTCCTTTGGCATTGTATGAAGTTTGGTTTTGCATTGCATCTGAAAACATTTTTGTATCTGCACTACACAGATACAAGGTGAATTTAGACTTGCAAAAAGGTTCAGACCAGTGCTAGAGGCAGT